CCTCGCTGTGGAGGCGGCCACAGCCTCGCTGTTTGTGCTGGCACAGCCTCGTTTTTTGACGCTGGACAGCCTCGCTGTGTGAGGCTGGCACAGCCTCGCTTTTTGACGCTGGCACAGCCTCGCTGTTTGACGCTGGCACAGCCTCGCTTTTTGACGCTGGCACAGCCTCGCTGTTTGACGGGCACAGCCTCGCTTTTTGACGCTGGCACAGCCTCGCTGTTTGACGCTGGCACAGCCTCGCTTTTTGACGCTGGCACAGCCTCGCTGTGGGGCTGGCACAGCCTCGCTGTTTGACGCGGGCCACAGCCTCGCTGTTTGACGCTGGCACACCTCGCTTTTTGACGCGGCACAGCCTCGCTGTTGAGGCTGGCACAGCCCCGCTTTTTGACGCTGGCACAGCCTCGCTGTTTGACGCTGGCACAGCCTCGCTGTTTGACGCTGGCACAGCCTCGCTGTGTGAGGCTGGCACAGCCTCGCTGTTTGACGCTGGCACAGCCTCGTGTTTGACGCTGGCACAGCCTCGCTGTGTGAGGCTGGCACAGCCTCGCTTTTTGACGCTGGCACAGCCTCGCGTTGAGGCTGGCACAGCCTCGCTGTTTGACGCTGGCAAGCCTCGCTGTTTGACGCTGGCACAGCCTCGCTGTGTGAGGCTGGCACAGCCTCGCTGTGTGAGGCTGGCACAGCCTCGCTGTGTGAGGCTGGCACAGCCTCGCTGTTTGACGCTGGCACAGCCTCGCTGTTTGACGCTGGCACAGCCTCGCTGTTTGACGCTGGCACAGCCTCGCTGTGTGAGGCTGGCACAGCCTCGCTGTTTGACGCTGGACAGCCTCGCTGTTTGACGCTGGCACAGCCTCGCTGTTTGACGCTGGCACAGCCTCGCTTTTTGACGCTGGCACAGCCTCGCTGTGTGAGGCTGGCACAGCCTCGCGTTTGACGCGGGCACAGCCTCGCTGTTTGACGCTGGCACAGCCTCGCTGTTTGACGCTGGCACAGCCTCGCTGTTTGACGCTGGCACAGCCTCGCTGTTGACGCTGGCACAGCCTCGCTGTTTGACGCTGGCACAGCCTCGCTGTTTGACGCTGGCACAGCCTCGCTGTGAGCTGGCACAGCTCGCTGTTTGACGCTGCACAGCCTCGCTGTTTGACGCTGGCACACCTCGCTGTTTGACGCGGCACAGCCTCGCTGTTTGAGGCTGGCACAGCCCCGCTGTTTGACGCTGGCACAGCCTCGCTGTTTGACGCTGGCACAGCCTCGCTGTTTGACGCTGGCACAGCCTCGCTGTGTGAGGCTGGCACAGCCTCGCTGTTTGACGCTGGCACAGCCTCGTTGTTTGACGCTGGCACAGCCTCGCTGTGTGAGGCTGGCACAGCCTCGCTGTTGACGCTGGCACAGCCTCCCCGTGTGAGGCTGGCACAGCCTCGCTGTTTGACGCTGGCACAGCCTCGCTGTTTGACGCTGGCACAGCCTCGCTGTGTGAGGCTGGCACAGCCTCGCTGTGTGAGGCTGGCACAGCCTCGCTGTGTGAGGCTGGCACAGCCTCGCTGTTTGACGCTGGCACAGCCTCGCTGTTTGACGCTGGCACAGCCTCGCTGTTTGACGCTGGCACAGCCTCGCTGTGTGAGGCTGGCACAGCCTCGCTGTTTGACGCTGGCACAGCCTCGCTGTTTGACGCTGGCACAGCCTCGCTGTTTGACGCTGGCACAGCCTCGCTGTTTGACGCTGGCACAGCCTCGCTGTGTGAGGCTGGCACAGCCTCGCAGTTTGACGCGGGCACAGCCTCGCTGTTTGACGCTGGCACAGCCTCGCTGTGTGAGGCTGCCACAGCCTCGCTGTTTGACGCTGGCACAGCCTCGCTGTTTGACGCTGGCACAGCCTCGCTGTGGAGGCTGGCACAGCCTCGCTGTTTGACGCTGGCACAGCCTCGCTGTTGAGCTGGCACAGCCTCGCTGTTTGACGCCGGCACAGCCTCGCTGTGTGAGGCTGGCACAGCCCCGCTGTTTGACGCTGGCACAGCCTCGCTGTTTGACGCTGGCACAGCCTCGCTGTTTGACGCTGGCACAGCCTCGCTGTGTGAGGCTGGCACAGCCTCGCTGTGTGAGGCTGGCACAGCCTCGCTGTTTGACGCTGGCACAGCCTCGCTGTTTGACGCTGGCACAGCCTCGCTGTTTGACGCTGGCACAGCCTCGCTGTGTGAGGCTGGCACAGCCTCGCTGTTTGGGACGCTGGTACAGCCTCGCTGTTGACGCTGGCACAGCCTCGCTGTTTGACGCTGGCACAGCCTCGCTGTTTGACGCTGGCACAGCCTCGCTGTGTGAGGCTGGCACAGCCTCGCAGTTTGACGCTGGCACAGCCTCGCTGTTTGACGCTGGCACAGCCTCGCTGTTTGACGCTGGCACAGCCTCGCTGTTTGACGCTGGCACAGCCTCGCTGTTTGACGCTGGCACAGCCTCGCTGTTTGACGCTGGCACAGCCTCGCTGTTTGACGCTGGCGCAGCCTCGCTGTTTGACGCTGGCACAGCCTCGCTGTTTGACGCTGGCACACCTCGCTTTTTGACGCTGGCACAGCCTCGCTGTTTGACGCTGGCACAGCCTCGCTGTGTGAGGCTGGCACAGCCTCGCTGTTTGACGCTGGCACAGCCTCGCTGTGGGAGGCTGGCACAGCCTCGCTGTATGACGCTGGCACAGCCTCGCTGTTTGACGCTGGCACAGCCTCGCTGTTTGACGCCGGCACAGCCTCGCTGTGTGAGGCTGGCACAGCCCCGCTGTTTGACGCTGGCACAGCCTCGCTGTTTGACGCTGGCACAGCCTCGCTGTTTGACGCTGGCACAGCCTCGCTGTGGAGGCTGCACAGCCTCGCTGTTTGACGCTGGCACAGCCTCGCTGTTTGACGCTGGCACAGCCTCGCTGTTTGACGCTGGCACAGCCTCGCTGTTTGACGCTGGCACAGCCTCGCTGTTTGACGCTGGCACAGCCTTGCTATTTTACGCTGGCACAGCCTCGCTGTTTGACGCTGGCACAGCCTCGCTGTTTGGCATCGCCCCCCCCACTTTCAGACACTAAAGTGCCATTTTGAGCTCGAAATAGAGAGAAAAATATAGCAATGTCGCAAATTCTTTGATTTTTGGCTTCTTGCCCGCTTTGCTCGCAGGTTTTCTTAATTTTCCTCCATTATTTTGCCGTTTGGCTCGCTTCGCCCACAATAAAGCGTGTGATTAAGCTCTGAAAAAAGGCAAAAGTTGTGTTAAAGTCTTGAATTGTGTGAATTTTTTCTTTAAGCTTGCTTCGTTTGCGGATTTGGAACACTATTAGAGAAGTCTAAACCGTATTGGGGGTTGCCTCTTAACGGTAGGCAACCCAACAATTTTTCATAAAAATTTCACCCCCCCCACCAGAAAGTACTTCCGGCGGCCCTGGCCGCGAGGCCGTCGCGCTTCCCCTGTCGCGACACTGTCGCGCTTCCCCTGCCGCGACACTGTCGCGCTTCCTTTGCCGCGACACTGTCGCGCTTCCCCTGCCGCGAGGCCGTCGCGCTTCCCCTGCCGCGACACTGTCGCGCTTCCCCTGCCGCGACACTGTCGCGCTTCCCCTGCCGCGACACTGTCGCGCTTCCCCTGCCGCGACACTGTCGCGCTTCCCCTGCCGCGAGGCCGTCGCGCTTCCCCTGCCGCGAGGCCGTCGCGCTTTCCCCCGCCGCGACACTGTCGCGCTTCCCCTGCCGCGACACTATCGCGCTTCCTTTGCCGCGACACTGTCGCGCTTCCCTGCCGCGAGGCCGTCGCGCTTCCCCTGCCGCGACACTGTCGCGCTTCCCCTTTCCGCGACACTGTCGCGCTTCCCCTGCCGCGACACTGTCGCGCTTCCCCTGCCGCGACACTGTCGCGCTTCCCCTGCCGCGAGGGCCCTCGCGCTTCCCCTGCCGCGACACTGTCGCCCTCCTCTGCCGCGACACTGTCGCGTTCCCTGCTGCGAGGCCGTCGCGCTTCCCCTGCCGCGGCACTGTCGCGCTTCCTTTGCCGCGACACTGTCGCGCTTCCCCTGCCGCGACACTGTCGCGCTTCCCCTGCCGCGACCCTGTCGCGCTTCCCCTGCCGCGACACTGTCGCGCTTCCCCTGCCGCGAGGCCGTCGCGCTTCGTCGTTCAAGTCAAAAATATAGGGTAGGTCAACCCTGGGGTGGGTCAACTTTTTTTGATAATATTTATATTACTCCTATTTTTTTTCCCATATTTATATTCTAATATTTATATTAATATTTTTATTAATTAATATATAGGTAGGTCAACGAGGGGGTATGCACTCGCGTAATAGTCGGTACACTCTATCTGTAATAGCTTGCGTAATAATACGCGTAATAGTCGCGTAATAGCCAAAATTGTCAAAATTTTATTAATTTTGGTGTGTTTTAGGCCGTTTTTAGCTAAATTCCGATTAATTTGTGGCGTAATAGAGCGTAATAGCGTAATAGTCGGTACACAGGTTCAGAGAGCGCATACCCCCTCGTAGGTCAACTTTGAGGTGGGTCAAGCTACATAGACTCGTCTCAGACCCACCTGCCCCAACGCCAGCAGGCTGACCTGGGAGCTCTCCTCCAACTGGTGGTACACCAGGTCGCGCGCGCACGCGGCCGCCAGCGACTCGGGCTGCGAGCACGGCAACAAGGCGACGGGCGCGGCGGTGCGCGCGTCGACCAGCGCCAAGAAGAGCGTCACGGCGGACACCCGACGCCAGGGCGCGAGCATGCTGGCCACCGCGGCGGAGGCAGTCGGCAACCACGACTGTCGGCAATCGGTCTGCCGGGGATTGGCGGGGCGGGTAATCTCCGCGACGCCATCGCAAGGCGCGAGCCGTGAGCCGCGCCGACTAAGTACTCCCGAAGCCCGCCTCCAACTGTCAAAGTCGTCTCGGAACTTGCAGCGATAATCAGTTCATTACTTCACCGAGTTGAGTCGCGATCGATTTTCGGGAAGGCCACGCTGCTCTCGCCTCTGGTGAAGGCGGTCAAAGTCAGGACTCGATGTTTGAAAGCCCTGCGACAACTGATAGCACATTCAAATTTTGAGCCAAAGTTGCTTTCTCTTGGCACTGCGCCGGGATCGCGTCATTGGTGTGGATGGAAGCGAGTGGAACCTCTAGAGCGAACAACACACTGACCCACCGGCCTGACCAACTAAAATAATCGAAAATAATACTCGAGAAACACTTCCCTGCGCTGTTCGCGGCTCGGAGAGTAGAGTCTCTGCGGCGCGGGGTACTCGCGACGCACTTGGCGCGCTCGCCGCTAGCTGGCGCTTCTGGTGGCGCCACTGCGAGCGGCCCAGGGAAGTCCACGCGGCCTGCTCTGGCCAATGCCGATGCCGGTCTCCACATTCCGGTCGCCCTGTCTCTCTCGCACGCACTCGAGGTGCCAGAAAGACAGAGCGACGAGAACAACTCTCGGAATGGCGCCAGGTCGGTTTGAAAACTGTGCTCTAGGACTCTAATTTGAAGCGGCCGAGACGGCATTCGGGGATCGAGGCCGGCGCCGCCAGCCAGGCCACCAGCGTGTCAACTCTAGCAGCCCCGCCACTCTCATTGGCTGAATAAAAGCGAGTGTGGCAGAGAGACTGGGAGAGAAAGGGGGGAGGAGGGGGGGCAGCGGCGGCGAGAATGCAGTTACACTCCGTTTACGAGCCGCGTGCCTCGGAGGTGACCGTAAGTGCGCCCTTAAAACAGACCACACAACTCAATTGCGGAATGCCGAGCAGAGCCGAGTGGTTGCGGCCGTGCCGTCGAGCCCCGTCGAACCGAGTATGTGGCCGACGTGTGAATGACGATGCGCGTCGACAGGCGGAGGATCGAACCCACTCTCCCCAGAGAGTGGCGTCGAGGCGAAAGTGCAACAGTAGCAACAACAACAATGACAAGTACAACGAAAACAAACAATAACAACAAAAACAACGACGACGAAGACAACGACGAACAGCAGCGACGCGCGAAAAATGTTCCTCGGACGTCACTGCAGCAACAGGCGCGCCACCCCGCCGCCGCCAAGAGGGTAGTGGTGGTGGTGGCAGCGTGGCACGCCCCCAGCCGTGCGGCGCGGCGTGGCGTGGCACGGGCTCGGTGCCGCCCGTTCATTCAGTGGCCGACGTGGGCCCCGGGTGGATCGCGCTCCCTGCCCTCAAGGACCGCCAGCCGCCGGGCCGCCGGGCCGCCCTCCACGCCGCCGTCCTGCTCCTCGGCGTCCTCGGCGTCCTCGCGTCGCGCCGTGGTGTTCCGGCGCGGAGAGTAGCTCAACCGTCGCGACGTGTGTAGTCGGACAGTTTACACGGCACGAAAAAAAATTCTGGATTTGTTTTTTTTTTTTGGCAAGTCAGCGAGTGCGCGTGTGTGCGTCGAGTGTGCGACAGTGTGTGGCAGTGTGCGGGTGATTGTGCTGGCGGCGGACTAACGTGATTGGATGACAGTGTGCCCATTGAGTGGATCATCCTGCTGCTTTGTGGCCGTCTCGGCGTGCCGTCTCAGCGTCTCGCGCCCGGCGAAGCGGAGTGGGGACGCGGTGCCAGGGATACTTCGGTCGCTTTCTTTTGGAGGTGGGTGTACCCGGGCGTACCTCATGACGGCCGTCTTCGCGATGGCGTCTAGCAGTGTGCGGGCAAAGCTGAGCAAAAACGCGTGAGAGGCCTACGCCGGACCCAGAGTCTGCTGACTTGAACACCTGGGTTCGCCTCAGGGCCTCGGAGTTCGCCGTGCGGTAGCCTACGTGTAGACCACGGTTGAATCCAACCCAAGGGCTCCCCCCCCCCTTCTCCTCCCCACAGTGCTGCGTAGGTCCTTAGTTTCGTTTCGGCGCTGCTTGCCTTGGCGCGCCTTGGCGGTGCCCCGGCCCGAACGGCTCACGCTCCCAGTGCAATAAAGGCGGTACCTGGCTGGATGCGATCGGAACGAGCCAAAGAAGGCGCCCGACCCTCGCTTGGGGTGAGGGAGGGGGCTCCCTCACCGACCTTGTTTCCCTTGTTACGATCCCCCCTGCCGCCATTCACCGTGCGCGGCACACTTTTTGCACCGATTTCCCGCGGTTTGTCAACAAGAAGAAGAGGAGCAGGTGGGGGCTGCTTTCATTACGCGGGCCGCAACGCAGCCCCCCTGGCCCGCCCTGGCCCGCCCCTGGCCCACCACAGCCACCGCCCTGCCCTGCCCCGCCCTGCCCTGCCCCACCACGCTAAAAAATTGACAGGATTGCACTCCCGTAACTCGTTAGCCAGGGGGACGAACTAAACTAAGACAAACGTTCAGGACAAACAGACTCCTCCCCGGAGCCGGGGGAGGGGAAGGGGCGGGGGGACGGGCAAGACAGTGTTGACTTAAAGTGGCTTGGTGCGGTTCAGAGCGCCCCGAGAAAACACTGATTGCTTTCCCTTTCGACTTCTTTTTTCGCCTTATTTCAGTGCGCAGCTTTATTTTTTTTGCCCACAGAAATCAATCTTGATTTTTCTGGCCCGTTTCTTCCTCTCCATTTCTCGTCGTCTTAACCCCCACCCCCGAAAAAAAGACTGAAATATGTGTCAGAGACTCACGAATTCGTTTATGTGAGCCGCTCGCTTGGGACTGGCTGGGGCTGGCTGGAGCTGGCTGGCTGGCTGGCTGGCTGGCTGGCTTGCCACGGCCTACGGGAGGACATCATTCATTGGCATGCCCACTGCGTTAGACCTTGCCTTATCTCGAGGCAGGGGGTACCATTTAAATGCTCGACTGCATTATGGGTGCGTAATAACTGCGTGAAAATCTCTGTGAGCACTAGAGAAGAAGAAAACCCCCCAGAAAAACCCTCGCGGCGCCTGGCCTGACAGTTTTTCCGGAGAGCTTTTCCCTTGGCTTTCCCTTGAAGAAAGACGCGCGCGCCTCTCCATTGAGTCGAACCTCGCGGAGCGCGGAGAGAGAGCAGGGCAGATTCCGCTCAGTGCTTTCGTCGCTCCGTCCCCCTCGCACCCTCGCGGGACGCCGCGAGAAAGAGAGAGAGAGAGAGAGAGAGACAACCCTGTTCCGGACAGTGAGCTGCGGAGAGTGTGTTACCGTGCCGCGTCGCGAGACTCTTTGGAATAGAAAAGAACAGCGAGGGCGACGCGGACGACGCGGACGACGCGCACACGCCTACACTGGCGGTGCGTATTGCGGTCCGATCCGGTTACCGCGGAGGGTGATGAGGCTTGGCGGGCGAGGGCACACAACGAACGCACTGACACCACACTGGCACCGCACTGACACCGCACTGACACCACACTGACACCGCACTGACACCACACTGACACCGCACTGACACCGCACTGACACCGCACTGACACCACACTGACAACGCACTGACACCACACTGACACCGCGCTGACACCGCACTGACACCGCGACTGACACGGCCACTGACACCGCGACTGACGCGCGACACATGTGGCCACGGTCCCCGCCAAACCCGACGGCGGTGGCGCGAAACTCTGTCACGCGTTCGCATTGAATTAGTCAGGGAGTCCCCGGGCGGGCTCCACCCCGGGGCCCCGGGCCGGGGGCGTGCGGCGATGCCACGAGACGGTGCGGCAAGGCCGGGCAAGGCGCTGGCGCTAGGCGCGAGGCCCAAAGCGAAGGCGGACTGCGGCGCTCGCGTGTTACTCGGTACACATGTTACAAAACTTGTACGTCACTCGTATTTTGCAGTTTAGAGTCCACGAATATTAACGAAAAAAAATCAACTAAAGCCTGCAGTTGGACTGAAGTATTTGACAGAAAACAGTAAAATGGCATGTTTGTCACAATATTCCTGTATTCCTTCGCATCGCACATGACAGATGACAATTGACGACCCATCTGAACCGCGCGCTTTGCCTCCAGGGAGGAGTGTCGGTTAGGATCTGGTGTGTGTGTGGGTGTGTTTGTGTGGGGTGAGTAAGGAAGAGGGTGAGCGTGCGCGAGGAAGAGGACAAAGCGACGGGGAGTGCGAGGGTGAGAGAGGGACAGCTGAGTATGTGTGGCGATTTCGGCGCCCAGGGAGCATATCTGGGGCTGGGCCCCTCTCTCTCCTCTCTGATGGAGGAAGTTGACTTGTGACTAATTTCCCTGGGCGGTCCAACTTTGCCCATTGCTAATGCAGTGGCCTGCTCAAAAAAGAGACACTCGAGACGGACAGGCGAGGCGGGACGCTCGCTGTCCACCGCCCTCCATCGCTCGCCAGTCGCCGCGGCCTGGAACCAATTAAACTCGACAAAAGGACCGTCGCCGCGTTTGCCCTCTTATCTCCGCCAGGCCAAATCTGGGAAATGGGTCTCCGGCCTGATTCGGTCGAGGAGGCGTTGTCGGGGCGGCCGGGACGAGACACCGGTGGCGCGTGGAGAGCCGCACCCCACCCGCCCCCTCCTCCGGGCTACTTGCAAGATTAAAGGCACGGCGTGCTTGCGAGGGCACGCACAGGCACGCCGCCGCGCTGAATTCCCGCCGTGCCGCGCCGTGCCGCGCCGTGCTCCGGGGAACTCCCGCAGCGCTCCCGCGCGTTTTCCGTGGAATCCCTGTGCTGCTTGCATCGGCTTGCCTCCCCCGCGAACACTGCCGCGTCGTGCCGCCGAGCGCACACGACGACGCTGTCCGGGCTATGGTCGTCGCCGAGGCGAGGCGGCGGGGCGCTCCGAGGAACACTGCGGAATTCCCCCTTTTCTCAGCGGGTACGCGACGGTGCGAGCCGCGCCTGGCAGGTTATTGAGGACCGAGGCGGGCGAGGCGGTGCGCCGTGCCTGGCCGTGCCTGCGGTTTGTCCCGGTGACACATTCCGCGGTGCCTGCCGGGCCTCCAGGCCTCCAAACGCCGCGCCGTGCACCCCACTGCGCTGGTGCTGTGCTGCGGACGGGGAGCCCCGTTGGTCGTGGTGCGCGTCATACCCGTCGCGAGGCTACAAATTAACGTACGCTAAAAAAAAACCGTCTGTTCTATGGCCAAAACTTTTTATAGCTTATTGTTAAGGAGTCAGCTTGCTTTTTCATTTATTTTTTTTTTAATTTTGTACAACTGATTTTGTGTTTTAAAGTGTACCTACAGGGATGCCATCACGGTTGATGTTAATCCAGGCTGTGGTTGCAGATGAGGTGACATGCCGCCCTCCATGGACCTGAACGAGTCCCGCGTCCCGGTCCTCGGCGGCGTCCCCGGCGGCGTCCCGGGCGCCGCCCTGGCCGCCGAGCGCGCGGACTGGGACTACGACGGACTGAACGGGTCGCTGGCCCGTAACGCCTCCCTGCTGGAGTTCCCCGCCGAGGACTACGTCTTCGACCGGGCGGACGTCCGGGCGCTGTTCATCGTGCTGTACACGCTCGTGTTCTGCTGCTGCTTCTTCGGTAAGGTGGTGCTGCACGTCCTGGACGAGGTTCCAGAGCGCTGTCAGAACAACCAGTGTATGGGTACTCCCCTCTCCCCCCCCCCCTCCCTCACCGAGGGCTGACACCGACAACACACACCGGCCCAGTCAACAGTAATTTAACACACGTAACACATCGCCGTTTTCACTTTCACTTCAAGTTTGCTATGTTTTATCGAAAATATTGATGGATTTTTAACGTTGTGCAAAGTAATACACAAAGTAATATGCACCCTTTGCACAGCACGGAGCAATGTGCAAGTTGACGCTCCCTCTTCCCACCCTCCCCAGGTCCTGGCCTGGGTCCCGCCCCGTCAAAGCAAGCCCCTAGGCCTGCCTCTGTCATCGCCTCTGATCTGCTCGCGAATCTTGCGAAGCCCAGGCTCACCCGCCCGCGCGCGCTTGCCTATCCTGAATACACACTATCTGGCGTACACCCGGAAAAGAGGGTCCGCACGGAAAATATGGAAGCATCCGCGCCCCACTCGGCGTCGTGACGAGGCGGCCCGTATAGTTTGCCGCGGGGGGCGGAACATGGAACCATTCCGCCTCCAGCAGACTGAGTCCGAGGGTCGCTTTCGTCGCTGTCTCTCCCGCACCCATGGGGCGTCCCGTATGGGCGCGAGAGAGACAGAGCGACGAGAGAGTGTTTCTCGGAATCAGTCCGCAGGGGCGGAAGGAGTGCCCTATGTTTAAGACGGCGAGGGCGGTTCCCGGGCCTACTCCCTCGGCATGTGTGTGGAGCCCGTCGAGGCCTTCGAGGCCTTCGAGCCTCTCGCCGCGAGTCTCGGAACCCTGGAGTCGACTCCGGCTCCACGAGATTGCCTCCCTCCAGCGAGACAGCGAACCGCCCCCGAGAGTCGTCTTCGTCGCTCTGTCTCTCTCGCACTCGTGGGGCGTCCCGTATGGGTGCGAGAGAGACAGAGCGACGAAAGCGACCCTCGGAATCAGTCTGCTGAATGCAGCGAGGCCGGGCGGCATAATTCGGCCTTTCTGCGTCCCTTCGCGGCGTGGCGGCGTAGCCATGGCGGAGCGTAACGAAGTCTGTCGGAAGTCTGCAAATATGAAATGAAAAGCCCGGCCGCGCCGCGCGCTTTGCGGCTTCGGCCGCGGACTCGGGGCGGGGAGCACAGAGGGGGAAAGGGAGGGGGGGGGGATTTGCCTCCCGGTGCGAACCGGCCGAGCCGAAAAACAAAAGAAGAAGAGGCGATGAAACAGAAACCGGAGGGACCGGAGGCGTGGCGGCGTTCGACGCGATTGGCCGCGCAATGTGCGAAAGGTTTAATGGACTTTGGCGCCGAGCCCCGAAACGCCGCAACGCCGCAAAGCCCGCCTACACTGCCGTGGACGACGCGCGCCGACGCGAAGATGAGCCGCAGGAGTTATCATCCCTTTGTAATGAAAAAGCAGAGGCGCTTTGTGCGCCAGTGAGAGAGCCTCCTTTTATCAATCAGCGCGGCCGACTTAATCACCGGCTCTCTGAGAAAGAAGGCGGCGAAAAGGCGACGCGGGTATTCGAACCCGGGAACCCGGGTCGTCTTGGAACCCCTCCCTGTTAGCGCCATACAATGGATGGAGCGGAGCCATCCGGGGAGGGAGGCGCGTGTTTTGCGTGGGCGTTGCCCCCTACACCATCATTACTCATTGTCGTCTGGAGGTTCAATGGTCTCGGCACTGCTAATTGGCTGGTACCGCGCGGACGGGCGGACAGGCCGGACAGGCGGACAGGCCGGCGGACGGGTGGACCGACAGGCGACGAACGCGGCACGACGCACGCGCCGCGCAGGGCCGCGGAGTGCAGCCCGGGGCGTTGCCACACGCGCGACTACAACACCCTCTCTCTCTTCTTAATCCGGGGGCTGTGGTGGCGCGCGGCGCCGCGTGGCCGGGGAGGGGAGGGGGTCGTTCGCCCGGAGCCTGAAGGGCCTGAAGGCTTGAAGGGCGTCTGCGTGGAAAGGCTTTCATGATTGAGGCTTCCTCGTGTTTGCTCTGGCCGGGCCTGGCGGGCCGGGCCTGGCTCGACGGCCACGTGTGTCGCCTGGCCGCATGGCCGGCCGGCCGATTACTCCACCACTCCCACTTTTTCGCTCCGCTGAAGCGCGGCCCGCGGCGACACGTTTAAAGCGATCAGGAGGAAGAGTGGAGTCGTGTAGAGGCAGGTCTATCGTCCTCCGCCCCTTGCTCCGCCCCGTCCACCGCCTTTTTGGAAATTTGCGTCCCCGCTCTGCTTTCCCGCGACGCCTTTCCTCCCTTTGACAGCGCGGCGGTAACTTCCCCGATAATTGCGGCCCTGCCCGCCCTGCCCGTCCGTGCCGATGAGTGCCCGTCTGGAGGCCGACTGTCTGCCCCGCACCGCGCAGGCACGCCCCGCGAGTGTGAGAGAGACAGAGCGACGGAAGCGCCGCGCCGTTCGGAGTCAGCCTGGCTGGCGCCGTAATAATGCTTTCCCCGGGCAGCTGTCGCCGGCGGCCGAGCTGGCAACGACCGTGTCGGCCGCGGGCCGCGGGCTGGCAGGGCTGGCAGCCCGCTGGCACCCCTCGCAAATTCGCACCTCCCTCCCACACGCCCACATACTCCCACACGAGTCCTCAATCTCCACCTCGGCTGCCATTTTCCAATTCCCGAGCCTCGCCGCCTCGCCGCGCCGTCGTCTGCAGGCCGCGTGTTTTTCGGCCAATTTCTCACTTGAAAATTAGGGCGCGGGCACGCGCCCACGCGAGTGTGCGAGAGAGATAGAGAGAGGAAAAGGGGCGGGGGCATGAACGTGACATACGGCCGGCCGGATACAGCAACTTCGGCGCTAAGGGGTGCGGCTGGGGGGCTGTGGGAACGGCCGTGGGGCTGACAAGGGTGCGCCCGCTTTTGAGAGGGTACTTTTTCATCCGCAAGTCGGTGTCGGCCGGGTCGGCCTAGAGAGGCGGTAGTCGCCCTGTCTCTCTCGCAGTCGCACGTCCTGCGAGTGCGAGAGAGAGAGAGACGGACAGGATGCCCTTATTGCATGCGCATTTCGCACCCTGTTTGCTTCTGGGCCCCCGCTCCCCGCGGCAGGCTGGGCGGCTCGGCAGGTATGGCGTCGCGCGCAAAGTTTGTAGCCGACGTGTTGAAGTTTCCCGGATTGGTCCGGAGGCAGTGCGGTGCGCAGCGGTCGGGGCGGCTGGTGTTTATGTAAAACGCGGCGCGCATTATGCCTCGAGCGACACCGCGTGGCGTGACGTGGCGTCGCACCGCGGCGGCCATTCGTAAACTCCTAATCGACTTAGCGCGGCCGGCCGCCGAGCCGCCAACTCCCCGCGGCAGCCACGGCCGCCAGGGCCGCGCAGCAGCCGGTCAAAAGAAGCAAACAAAGGCAAAAGGGAGGGGATAAGCGATATTGCGCAGAGAGGTCGGTAAGCGCCTTCGAGGGCAGGCGGGCCAGGGCCGGGGCCAGAGCCAGGCGCCGGCCGAGGCAAAAACTAGCAAGTTGGAAGCCGAGGGCGAGTGTAGGCGGGCGAGGCATGCGGGCAACATTTCGGCGCCACTACTTTCAAACTCGCCAAGTCGGATTTAGCGGATCCGGGTCGCGGGCTGGCGGGCTGGCCGGCCGGCCGGACGGACGCGCCGAATGCGTCAGAAGTAAGACTCGCAAAGTGCGCGTCGTTTTCCGGGCCGATGCTGCCGAGGCGGGACTTGGTGCTGGGGGTGGCCATGGCGTGGCCATGGTGTGGCGTGGGCCGATATCACGGCCTGCCGAGGACGCTCTGGACACCGGGGACCCTCGGGGAGGTCAAGCAACAGCGAGAGCTTTCTCTCTCCCTCTCCCCGAGCAGCGCGTTGGCACGGGCCGGCACGGGCCCTTCTCGCCACCCTTTGTCCGTCACCGCCACCACACACACCACACAGGCCCTCCGCGACCCTGGTCGCCACCTATTCAAGCGCGGCCCCAGAAAGGACGGACACTATCTCAGCTCCCAATAAATAAATCAAACTGCCGCTGCTGCCTCCCGTATCACTGACGGTTGCTTCCAATTCGCTACAAAGGAACGTCCGACCCGGGAGTGGCGTGGCGTGGCACCCGTCCCGTGTTCCCGGAATTCACGTTACCCGCGTTGCATCGCGCGAGTACGCGAAAGGGGAAAGGCTGCAACGGGCGCTGAGCTGGCTCCGAACCGGGCTGTCGTCTCTCTCTCTCTCTCTCTCTCTCTCTCTCTCTCTCTCTCTCTCTCTCTCTCTCTCTCTCTCTCTCTCTCTCTCGCAACCCTGCGGGCTGCTCGGCTGCCCCACGAGTGCGAGAGAGAACGACAGCACCGCCCACCGTGCCAGCAGAGCCAGGCGACCCGTGCAGCATCCAGAAGTGCGGCACCCTGTCACGGGATATACGCCGGCGAGAGTATCGGAGTGTCAACAGACACAGCGGGGCGCCCCGTTGCGGGAAAGCGGGGTAGATTTTGTCGCTCTGTCTCTCTTGCGCTGCTCGACCGCCCGGTGAATGCGAGAGAGACAGCGCGACAAAAGCGCGGTTCGGACTCGTCCTGCGGCGAGAGGGAGAGCGAGGCGAGAGCTCAAGCGGGGCATGCCATCCATCATGTGACAGCGAGACCAACTTGATTCTGCTCTTCTTCACACTTCATTTCGCTTCACGCCGGACTGGAGCGGACTGGAGCGGGCTGGAGCGCGCTTCAGGCGGGATGACCTAGGTCAGGGTGAATGAACCGACGGGGCGAAGCAAAACCCTTTCCAGTGGCGGGGCTCGCAGGGCGCTTACACCGCGCGGCCAATTGAATGACAACCGCGGCACCGCAGGGCCGTGGACAACGCGGCGCCCCGCCCCGCCCCGCCGCGCCACCTGCCAGCCCGACTGGAACTGATAACACTAAGGTCGTCCTAGGTCACGCCGTCGCCAAGCCCGCCGGGCTGTCGCCCCGACGCGGCACCGCATTTGTCCGTCTGCCTCGGACCGCGCAACTTTGCGGTTTGCTTGTCTGCAGCTCCGCGAAGATCTGT